CAATTCTTGTCTGGGGTCTGAGGAAGAAGGGAATCTCTGAGAACTGCACACCAGAGAATGGGGTTTCCTGCAGTTTCCTTCTGTTTGTTTGCTTAGGGATTCCTGAGAATGAAACTTGTAAAGTGGGAGGAGGAGTGGGAGAGGTGAAGGAATACCAAGGACTTCTGAACGTTTTCCTTTTACTGTATAGTTTGTCTCATACCTGTAAATCCCTTCCACTGAAAGGATAAAGAATATTAAGTATAAAAGCATTTTGGGTAGACCTTGTAACAGCAGTGTCATGCAAAAGAATGTTTGGGATGAGAAATACGATTGATTTATTTAAAACACAGAAGGAACCATTTCTAAATTTCTCAGTGAAAAGGCTGAAGCTTTTGGTAAAACAGTGTTTAGCACAATCTCACCCATTCAGACACAGGCCTGAGCCAGAGGTGTGGAATTGCACCTAGGAAAAAAACAGACAAAACCAGTTCCTCTCAGCTCCACAGTGCACATGAAAGTGAGCAGATTGCATGCACAATGTTGCATGCAGCCTGCTCTGCCAGTGCATCTGACTTGCTTTGCTGGCCTTTAGGGGTGAAGGGAAGAAGCCTGGCACCTAGGGTGAGATCTGCAACAGGACGTTAGTGTTGCCGTGCTGAGCATCACACGGCGCCTAACTTTTAGGGCCTAGAAAAAAAAATATCACAGGAATAACACTGATCGACAAGGCCGAGTTAGACAGCTAGGCTCCTATACAATGAATGGGGAGAGACAGCTTAGAAAACAATCCTCAAAGCCAGTACATTAGGTGGGAAGCCATCTAAGCTCGTCAATGGGACATGTCAACTAGACGGGAGTATGCTAAGCTCTGCCCCTCTCTCAGAGACAGGTGCCTAAATCTGGGCAGCACAGAGGCACCTATCTTGTGCAGAACCCAAAACAAAACAGCCAGGGAGTGGGGGAGAAGAAGGAGGAGGACCTCCTTTATAACCTTTAGCCTAGGGTACTCACCCAAGATGTGGAAGACCCCCAGTTGAAGTTTCCCCTCCTCCTGAGTGGGAGTGCCTAACCACTAGACTACAGAGTTATTCTAATTCTTTCTTTGATACCATTAACATTTCAGTATTCCACTGTTCAACTGGAGTGGAACAACTTCAACAGGAGAGAATGAGGGAGCCCCACATCAGACTGTTCCATTGCCTAGCAGTTTGGACACTCTCCTGAGAAGTGGCTGATCACATAGGTGCCGACTCTGTGGGTGCTCCGGTACTGGAGGACCCATGGGGAAAACTGGTGGGTGCTCTGCACCCACCAGCAGCCAAGCTTCCCCCACCGCCCCCCCCCAGCTCACCTCTGCCTCCTCTCCTGAGCACGCCATGTCCCCGCTTCTCCTCCCAGGCTTCCACTGGGAAACAGCTTTTTCAAGGCATAACAAGCTGTGGGAAGGAGTGGAAGGAGCGGGAACATGGAGCACTCGGGGGGGAGGCTGGGAAGAGGTGGGGACTTGGGGAATGGGTCCCAATAGGGGCAGGGAGGGGGCAGAGTTGGGGAGGGGACTTTGGGGAAGGATTTGGAATGGGGGCAGCGGCGGAGTCAGGGTGGGACCACCTACTGGTGCCAGGAGAAGTTGGCATCTATGGCTGATCACATTTCAAATCCCTTCTCCCACACAAGGAGGGAGTACTTGAACTGGGGGTTTCCCATACCCTGTGTGAATACTCTAGCCAGTAGGCTAAAGATAAGGGAGGTTGCTGGCCTCCCCGCAGCTATTTTGTGTGAACTTGCCTGAGGGACCCAGTCCAGTAGGTGTGCTCAGAGACCGCGTACCTGACTGTGCCCTCACATGCAACTTGAGCAGCCAAATGCATATCTTTCCTGGGTTGACAATTGCTCTGAGCTTAGGTGGGAGATAGGTGTCTGGATGCCTATCATGAAACAGTAGAATGCATGCTTAGGCAGGAAACAGGGTCTGGTTGCCTGTCATGTATACCAGTAGGTTGCAGGGCTGCTACGAACAGATCAGGCTTCTATATCAGATATGGTCTGGCTACAGAACTTCCTTCCCTCAGAGATATACACCAGATGTGTTCACTATAAGATCCTTTAATGCTCTGCCAAGCATGGCTGAGGTTAGCTTAAATAAGGTATGTTACACATATTGCCACCTTGTGGCTGTACAGTGGAATACAAATTAGCATTCCATTACTTCTCCCCCCAAAAGTTCTATATTCCTACCATTTACAAAATTTACACTGTCACGCTATTTCTGAAGTTTGATACAGACTAGTCTGTCAAATGTATCTGAATCGGATTGGTTTTCTCACTACACAGCCCAAACATGTAACAACTTGATCATCTGGCTATCCATTAGTTGTAACAACAGCCTGTGATCAGTTTGGAATCCTTGAATCGTCATCTGCCATATGTAGAGTTTGTTCTGTTGATTGTTCTTTCTGAGGCACAAACTAGATATTGACAGTTTCTGTTGAACTCTCTACTGTTGGTCTTGATCACAAATGATCTGGTTGGCGAATTTTTTTTCTTTAGGACTGCTGGAGTTATCCATCCTTTTTCTCCATCCAATTGAACACAGACACAGTAACCAGGTTCTAGGCTCAGCAGTTCTCTAATTGAGCATCAACGTTGTAAAAGTGTTCGTAAGCTCTTCTCCCCCAACTGTTACCCTAAAAATTGGAAGCTAATTAAATTACCTACAATTTTTTAAATTTAATAAAAAGGGTAAACAAGGTTGTGGCCTGCCCTAAAGGAATTACCAGAATATTACCAGGGGGGCTTGTCTCTGACTCGTAGAGGGCTCCCCAGAGCAAGCTAGTCTTGTTAACCCCTGAAAGGACATGAATACAGCCTTCCGCTCAGGAATGGACACACAAACAGTAATTCTTCAAAAACAGAAATAATTGTTTCTTGAAGGAATTAGGTATTTACAGAAAAAGAAGAAGAAATGAGTAAAGCATGATAAAACATAATAGAATTACAGTTTAAAATAAAGCAATGCAGCAAGTAAAAACGTAGACTATATAAATTATAACAATGTAACCATTCACTTAACTCTATTTGACTTTTAACATTTAACATTCAACATGTAGCACTGAACATCCAATAAGCACTGGCCAAGGGACTATTAGATGGGTAGAGGAAGAGCTCACTAAGACCACTGGCATACAACTTTATTTACAGGAGAAACCCATACGTTCCTTGACAGTGAATAGAAGACTAGACTTACTTCTACTATTCTTAGATTCCTCTGAATCATCAATAAGGTCCTTCTGATCTGTGAAAAAAGGAAACGCTGTCTGCTGGTGCTTAATATTGTTTGCCGCCAGAGAGAGACCAATGCTGCTGAGGCGAAAGCTGCCCTCTGGTGACAAATATGGAAGCCTGTTGGTCACTGCAGATGTTTGGTAGCTGCTGCTGGCAAAGACGCTGGCTGAGTTGCTATGGCAGCTCTTATGCAAAGTAAGCTGCCATGGGATAAGAGGGAAGGTGCTCTCATGGATTGGTAACTGGTTAAAAGATAGGAAACAGAGGGTAGGAATAAATGGTCCGTTTTCAGAATGGAGAGAGGTAAATAGTGGTGTCCCCCAGGGATCTGTTCTGAGACCAGTCCTATTCAACATATTCATAAATGATCTAGAAAAAGGGGTAAACAGTGAGGTGGCAAAATTTGCAGATGATACAAAATTACTAAAGATAGTGAAGACCCAGGCAGACTGCAAAAACCTACAAAAGGATCTCTCAAAACTGGGTGACTGGGCAACAAAATGGCAGATGAAATTTAATGTTGATAAATGCAAAGTAATGCACATTGAAAAGCATAATCCCAACTATACATATAAAATGATGGGGTCTAAATTAGCTGTTACAACTCAAGAAAGAGATCTTGGAGTCATTATGGATAGTTCTCTGAAAACATCCACTCAATAAGCAGCGGCAGTCAAAACAGTGAACAGCATGCTGGGAATAATTAAGAAAGGGATAGATAATAGGACAGAAAATATCATGTTGCCTCTATATAAATCCATGAATACTGTGTACAGATGTGGTCATCCCATCTCAAAAAAGATATATTGGAATTGGAAAAGGTTCAGAAGAGGGCAACAAAAATTAGGGGTATGGAACGGCTTCCGTATGAGGAGAGATTAATAAGACTGGGCCTTTTCAGCTTGGAAAAGAGACAGCTAAAGGGAGATATGATTGAGGTCTATAAAATTATGACTGGTGTAGAGAAAGTAGATAAGGAAGTGTTGTTTACTACTTCTCATAACACAAGAACTAGGGGCTCACCAAATGAAATTAATAGGCAGCAGGTTTAAAACAAATAAAAGTAAGATTTCTTCACACAATGCACAGCCAACCTGTGGAACTCCTTGCCAGAGGATGTTGTGAAGGCCAAGACCATAACAGGGTTCAAAAAAGAACTAGATAAGTTCATGGAGGATAGGTCCATCAATGGCTATTAGCCAGGATGGGCAAGAATGGTGTCTCTAGCCACTGTTTGCCAGAAGATGGGAATGAGGGACATGGGATGGATCACTTGATGATTACCTGTTCTGTTCATTCCCTCTGGAGCACCTGGCACTGGCCACTGTTGTAAGACAGGATACTGGGCTAGATGGACCTTTGGTCTGACCCAGTAGGGCCATTCTTATTCTATTACAGTGCCTATAGTGAGGCTGCAGCATGCATGTAGTGTACATTCCTAGGGGAAAATACATAGATGCCTACAGGATTAGCCAGCAGCCAAGTGGGAGTTTTGTGGATTTCAGTGGTGTCTAAAAAACAGGACTTAAGTACCCAAGTAACTTCATGGATCCTGCCACTTGCCACCGCAGAGGTGCAAAGAGGGAGCGGTCCTTATTTTCTCCGCAAATGTAGGGAATATGATTGCCTGTGGTCCTTGCATATGGCCTGCAAAGTGGCCAGGTGGAAGGTAACAATATCTTTCCTAGCCCTTCTGACATTCAGGTTGTACCAAATATTCTCTCTCTTATTTTTAGTGAGAATAGCCAGAGGGTATCGCTCTGAATTTTGGTGCAAGAATGAGTTACATTGGGTATAACACACCTGCTTAACTGGATACACAGTGAGTAGTCCCATTGATTTCTGTTCAAAGTACATGAAGTTAAGTATATATGTAGAATTGGGGCCTAAGGTTGTTAAGCTGAGAGAACTGCTAATATGGACAACCTTACACTTAAAGTGTTTGCCAAGAAAAAGACAACTTTGGTGGAAAGGAAAAATCATAAGTTTGATCTTAAGGGCCAGAGAGAGGCAAAGGGATATTACAGACCAGGATGTGGCCTGATATCTTGAGGTAAAATGTACAAAATAAATACAATATTATCGGTATGCGACTTGGTCTACTTAAAGGAGGATGGGATACCTTTCCATAATTCTAACATATGTATTACTGTATAACTCTCTTAAGACTGAGTACATTTTTTGGTAAGGGTATTAGTTCTCATGTTCTTAATTTTTCTATTGTAAATTCTGCTCTTGAGGTAACAGCAAAAAAGGAAACAGTTTATTTTAAAAAATAAAACCACAGCAGCAGCCCAACGACAAGATTTAGACTTTCCAGAAAAAAAACATTAGGATTGGGGACTGGACAAAGAAGGCAGCTAGGAAAGGCTTGTATCTATTGATCAGTGTTGCAGTTTTAATATTAAGCTTGGGCTTGGTACACCGTCACACGGTCATTGGGATTCCCTGTTGAGTCAAACAATTGCAGTTGGAGAACTCAGGACCCCTAGCAGGGCCAAGCAACCAAGCAGTCTGTAGCCCCGGGGGCAGGACAGAGCAAACACTTAGTCTATGGCTCGTAAGCCTTCTGGGCTGGGGCAGACAATAGTGGAGGGCTCTGACCCTCTGGGCAGGTCACGGCAAAAAGTCAGTCATCAGCCCCTGGGGTGGAGCAGAGCAAACACTCAGTCTATAGCAGGGATAGTCAATAGGCAGATGGCAGGCCAAATCCAGACCACCTGATGATTTTAAACAGACTCCAAAATCTTTTTATGAACTTATTGTCATTTTTTAAATTATTATTATTTTCTCTGGAGTCTGGATCTTGACTATACCTTGACCAAGAAATTTGGACCTTGATAAAAAATAATTTAGCTCTTTCTTTGAGCAGCAGGGGAAGAGAAACACATTAAACTAGTCCAGGGAAGATCCTTGGGGAAGGTCTACACTTCCTGACTGGGACACCTGTCCCCACCCCTCTTACTTTCACAGGGCTCTGGCATTCGAGCCCCTGGCTTAACAAGGTCCTTTCAGCGGAGGGTGACCCCCTCATTTGGGACAGGTTCTGTTCCCCTTTATTCATACAATAATTACAACACATTGATAACAGCATTTCACTACCCCTGCATTCAGTAGTAAAGTGATTTGTAACCCAACATGAGTCAAAGTTGATTACTTTGGGCAAAACACTGCTCTATCTGGTGGATATCTAAGCAGAGCAAGAGCAAACTGTATTTACATGGACACACCTAAACTCTCTCCTCCTCCCAGCTAGCTGTCAGGTAGCTTGCCTAGTGGCAAGTGCAGAGGAGGGCACAGGGGAACCTGGGGCCACCCTACTCCACTGGGTTCCAGCCCAGGGCCCTAAGAAGCTGGTAAATTCCCTATGCTTGAACCCCTAACACATTCCCTGGGTACTTCCTACCATAAGGCCCATTTAGGGCATCTCTTCTGCTGGCAGGGGCTCAGCATCCCAGTCAGTCTCCATGGTCAGCTGGTCATCCACAGCATAGTCTGAGTCCATGGTCTCAACAGCCTGAAGAGTTGAAGATTCCTCTGCAGGAACCTGCAGCACATGTCCTTCCTCCTCCTCAGTCAGCCCCCACTGAACTGGGCTGCCTCCTTTTATCTGTCCCTTCCACCTGGAGCATGTGCAACAGGGGTGAGGGGGCATTGTCTCCTAGGCCCACAGTGATTGGTCAGGCCCCGTTGACCCAGTGCGGGGTTGGTACACCCTGTCACACAATGCAAGACTCATTTACACAGTATTTAAAGATTCAGATTAGGACCTAAAGCTAGTCTTTTATGCTAGGCTGAGAAGACATTTTCAATTAAATTTAAAAAGTTAATTTCTCTTGTTTCTAATCTTCTAAATTTGTATTACTCTGCACTTTTACAAAACTTTGCAATCACTTTTGTTTAAGATAGGCCTTTATTATTATTGCATTCATTAGAGTAGTGCTTGGTAGCACAGCTATAGATGAGTATGCGACCAGTGTTGCGAGTCTGTTATGAACTGTGTTTTGCAGTGTTTATGACTCAGCCATTAAAAGCACTTCTTGGCTGAAATTTTATACAGAAAATCTCCTTCTCTCTACTGTAGGAGGCGGCCTCTTGTGTAATTTTTCTGTGTCCGTCTCCAAATGCGATTTGACACTAACAAATACAACTTTTAAAACACACATTTCTGAGTCTATAGCAAACCTTTCAGAAGCTTGAAGACCGGTTTACAGAGAGAATGAGTTGTACTTAGTGTGCTAGTTGAACAGTGTAAGGTCAGTCTGCCTCCCCTCACGGTGGGTATGCTCAGTAGAATGAGCCTTTGTGTATCAAGGTTCAAGAAGTTTTTGTTCTCCGCAGTTGAACAAGATAGAACAAACCCTCCCAGATAATGGATGATATGCTCCAGGCACCTAGCACCTGACCCTGCAATTCTTAATTAGGAAAAAGGTCCTACTGAAGTCAATAGGATTTCTGTCTAAGTAAGGAATACAAGATTGGGCCCTGGTCTTAAACCATTGGTCCACTGTATCACCGAATATTGTAATCATTAGTGCAGTTGCCGCTGTGTATGTAAAAATCAATATTAATGTATTTCCTACATCTTGACAGATTATTTTTATTTACACAGTAAAACTTGTCCTAAGTGACTGCTTGAGAGTGATAAATCCGTTGCGTTTAATGGATGTGGCTTTTTGAGAAAGGTGGAATAGAACTGTACTCACATCATTAGGGGACCTTGAGATAGGTGCCCATACTGGGAATATTTGAATTGGGTTGCCTAATAAGTAAAGTGCCTTATGCATATTGAACTGCGAGCAATGGAATTGTTGAAAAGATCTACCTGCTGCATACAAACAATGTACTGTCTGTTATAGTATTTTTAAGGCTCCAGGCACAGCGGTATTTCAGCTGTAAGAATTGAACACACAGTGACAATGAGAAAACAACTGAAAATGTAAATTAAAGCTCATGAGGTCAGAGAAGACCTATTTAGTGTTATAATAAAATGATTCTGAGCCTGCTGAGATAGTCATGCTCTGCTTTTTCTGATCTTTCAGACACATTAATGATGAAAGACTGAAAACATAATTACAAATGAAGCTTTTTCTGAGGCTTCCAAAACCATATTCAAGCCCAGGTGGCCTCACAAAATGAACGTTATACTTAACCAAATTCAACTATTTTCACTCCCCTAACAGGAGCTGCCACATGCAGTCCTCTCTTTTTAACTTCTTGTTGGCTATTTTCCAGTGGCAGCATCAATGTGCTGACCATAGGAAAGTACACACACATCTGTTTCCAACCAGCCTGTGGTAACTGAGTGGGATGTAAATCTAATTAAATACAAAAAGTTGCCGTATGTTGCAATAACATTCATGGTCTGAATTAAACTGACAAAAGCAAGGAAATTCCAAGTTAAAGTTCCCATTCTGTCCTTATTTCACCCTGCTGTACTTTGGAACTGCAGGGTCTCAGAACTGTGCATAATAGACACACGTGTTGTGGCTGTGTGCATGCCAGTGTGCACAATCATGCGTGAACACACACTACATACAAATCACTGTGTTAAAAGAACATTATTAAGGTTGCAAAGTCAAGCTCCCAAAAGTTAGAAAATGCCAGAATGAAGGTTGAACATGCCCTCCAGAAATGTACATACATCTTTAGCAAAGGCTACTCCATGGGTTTAGGATAGAACTAGAGATAAAAAATAAGTGTTTTTCCCTCACTAATGACACCCATTTCAAATAATCCAGTTCTTAACCCAAATCATGAACCAGAGAGTTTTAAAGACTGCAATTTCCCAGCTATTCAATAAAGAAACTTTTCTAATTTACGTAGAGATCAAAACAAACCCTAACCAGCCCATTCTTCCCTGATACTGGTACAGTACTTTCAAATTAGCCATTATGTTGCTCAACTTCCTAGAAAAGTTGTTTTATACAAAAAGCTGACTTTAATAGAAGCGATAGCATCCGGTCAGTTAGGAAACAAAAAATTGCAACTAATTTATATCAATCTTTGCAGACAACTTTCCTAACCAAAGAAGTCTATATATGACATGCTGGGAAAAGGATCTGGATAAACAAATTACCCCAGAAGAATGAGGGTTGATATGATACAAGAGGACCAGTAACCTCAGTCTTCAGCATGATAAAAGAAAAATTCTTTACTATAGTGTTTCAATGGTATTTCATGCCAGTCAGGTTAAAATCTATATATAGCAATTAAATGTGGATAAATACTGGAGAAACCACAGTGAACGAGGAGATTTTACACACACAGGGTGGACATGTCTATTCATTAGAAAGTACTGGGACATAATTCATAATAATTTATCACAAATTGTTGGATATTTATTACCCAATGATCCTTCAGTAATCCTCCTGGGCTTCCTGTCAGAAATGGTCATACAAAAGGAAATGAAGAATTAATCTGTCATCTGCTAGTAGCTGCTAGGCTCCTGATAGCCTCTCATTGGGAAAAGAAAAATGGTCCAACTCTAGCGGAATGGTTCACAAAATATGAGAGGTTGTTATGGAAAAATTAATGCACCAGTTACGTGCTCAGGATAATAGACAGAGGACAAATAGATACTTAGATATTTGGTTACTATATACACTCAGTACTCAAACAAAAGAACATTCACCTGCAAAAAACCTCTTGGCACACCTGTCCAATCTTTTTGAATATTAGCATTTGATAGACATGCCTGGCTTGTTAAATATGTGTAATCAGAGATTTCACTCAATTTAACAAATTCACTAGAAATGCTAGGTCATGAGTAGTGTAAAGATGCTCACTCTGTCACATGGTAACACCCTGCTTAAATGGAGAGATTTGATGATTATATTAACTGTATACTGTTTCACTAACCAAAAGCTCACTGTTGTAATGAGTGTTTTGTCTCTGATATTTACATGGCAAGGATTTGTAAACCTGTTTAAAAAACGAATGGTTCAGAGAATGAAGCTGCTGTTTAATATTTTTATCCTCAACATACAGTTAGTATCCTCTGCCTTATTTAGTGTATACCATGCAATGAATATATAATTATTAATTTTCTTATGGTCTTTTCTAGGGCACTCATCACTGTAATGTCTGAGTGCTTCCCACACATTAATGAATTTATCTCCATATCGCCACTGCAAGATAAGAGTATTATCTTCATTTTATAGATGGGAAAAACAGACAAAGACTTCTCTGCAGGAACACAGTGAATCAGGGGCAGAGCTAGGATTAGAGCTCAGCACCACAAGATTCCCAAGCCTGTGCCCACATCTCCATACCAAGCTCTCTTGTACTATGATGTCACTGACAAAAAGGTATGTTTTTACCAATAGGATACCTAACCACATTAACTATCCTGCTTTACCATAGTGGAGAAAAGACACCTGTAGTGTTTATCACGAGATCAAACACAAGTATATAATGCTGACCTCAGCTAGGTACCTCACAGCAAACACTACATGTCTCTCTTAGGATTTTATAGCAGGATAACCACTCTATATTTGTTATCTCGCTGTACAAACCCCCACACCTTTGTGTCCGTGAAAACAGTCTTATTGGCAGAGGTGCTGAGCATCTGTGGCACCACTGAGTTCTATTCCAGCTGTAAGTGTTCAGCATTTCTGCAAAGCAGGCCCCCATTGTGTCAAGTTGTGCACACAGAAAATCAGAAGTATACAATTAGTGGTCACCTGGCAAAATTTTTGTTTGAATGATTTGCTCTGCATTGCATATGAAGGCTGCAGCAGAGATAGATCTGAATCTTCCTTTATACTCTATTATTCACCTTCCTTAACTACAAGGGAATCTTTGCTCATAGATTATAAAGGAACTATTATGATCATCTAGTCCAGGGGTCAGCAACCTTTTGAAGAAGAGCTATTTTTTTGTTTTTGTCTTTGACCAAAATATTTCGAGAGCCGTATCACACACAAAGCTACTTGTAGAGTTAGAATTTATCAACTAATAATAATTGAACATGTTAAAGTTATTACTACTCACCAATACTTTTAATCTGACTAGAATCTAGGTGCTTCAGCGAGGACTATACCAGACTGCCCACAGCCAGGGTATGTAGCTGCAGTGTTAAACCATGCTGGGTCCATGCCGTTGCATCTTCACTGATATCTTTAGCCAGGGGAGCTAGATTAAAGCTAGCAGAGCTGCAGTCATGCTTCTGAATGCAATGTAGGCACATCCCCTGCATTTGTACAGCACCTAGCACAATCAGGACCTGATCTGAGTTGGGGCCTACTGATGTTACTGACATTCAAATAAGTTTGGACCCAGATTTCTGGAAAATACTTGCATTCAGATTTGGGTTTGTTAAAGTGCATTTTCTACAGGGCCTGCAGGGCTACAGTCCCTCAAGTGAGGCTCTGAATAAGGCCAGTATTCTGGCAGGGGGTCACAGTAATGCGATGTCACTGTACAATATGTGAGCTCCCTGGAGGCTGAGTGGTCTCTGCCCTTCTGAATCACAGGGTGCTTGGAGCATTGTGTACCCGAGAGGACACAATAACTACACCCATGCTGCGGTGGATTATGTGCTTATGAGAGCCTCACCCTGGCTTTGTATCAGACTCCGAATCCCCTTCATGCAAACCTCCCACCTCTTCTGCTGAGTGCCAGTCTTCCTTGATTACAAAGCAGGGGACTGTGGTGCAGGAGAGGGTGTGGGATCTGGGAGGGAGTTTGGGTGCAGGAGGGGGTTCTGACTTGGGGCAGGGGTGCGGGAGGAGGTGCGAGGTGCAGGCTCTGGCCAGGATGCGCTTACCACAGGCGGCACCCGGCTGGCAGCACAGCAGGCTGCCTGCCTGCCCTGGCCCCATGCCGCTCCCGGAAGTGGCTGGCTGCTGGTATGCCTCTGCGCACCCCTTGTGCAGGGGGGAGGCAGCTCTGCGCGCTGTCCCCACTCCCAGCACCGTCCTCACAGCTCCCATTGGCTGGGAACTGGCCAATGGGAGTTGCGGGGGTGGTGCTTGCGGGCTACCTCCCTTCCCCCAGGGAGTGCGCAGAGACATGCCAGCAGCCAGCTGCTTCCCGGAGCAGCGTGGGTCTAGGGCAGGCAGGCAGTCTGTGGTAAGCGCCTCCTGGCCAGAGCCTGCACCTCGCACCCCCTCAGAAAATGGCAGCCAGCAATTGGGCAGCCAAAGAGCAACAAGGGGGCAGCCAAAGAGCCACATGCAGCTCTGAAGCCGCAGGTTGCCGACCCTGATCTAGTCTGACCTCCATAACACAAGCCATAGAGCATCATGAATATTTTTTGCATCAAGCCCATAACTTCTACCTGAGCTACAGCGTATCTTCTAGAAAGATTTCCACTCTTGTCTTAAAGACTGAATGGGATGGAGAATCCACGACATCCCTAGGAAAGTTGTTGCGATGGTTAATTACACGAACTGTTAAAAATTTGCAACCCGGTTTCTAGTCTGTATTTTGTCTGGTTTCCGCATCCAAACTCGATGTCATTATGCCTTTTTCTGCTAGATGAAAGAGTCCACAACTAGCAGAAATTTCTTCTTTCTTTAAGTACTTATAGACTGTGAAAAAGTTACTTCTTAACCTTCTATTCGCTAAACTAAACAGACAGAGTTTTTTTAGCTTGTCGGTAGAAGGCATGGTTTTTGATCTCTAATCATTCGTATAGCACTTTTCTGAACCCTTTCCAAATTCTCAACATCTTTTTTCAAGTGTGATCAGAATTAGACATAGTAGTTCAGTAACAGCCTTATTAATGCTGTATACAGAGGTCACACCATCTCCCTGTTCCTACCGGATATTCTTCATACATCCAAGGATTGCATTCACCCTGCTAAATACAACATCACATTGGGAGCGCATGTTCTTTCTGCAGTCCCCTACCTGCTCACTGTACATCTTCCAAATTCTAGAGCAAATGAGGCAGAGATCCTACAAACAGCCTCATTCACTATCAACCCTGATTCATGCCTTTAGCACAGTCCATCCTGTGCACTGAAAGAGCAAGAACTCCTATTGAAAAATAGTATATGATAATGAAACTGGAGACTCTGTCATAATGCCATATGCACAAGGGGCAGAACTGAGGTTGTTACTTCTGGGGGAATTCTGTGTATCTGCAGATGTTAATCTGTCCCACATAATTTTGTTTTTCCCCCTACATAAAATACATTCTACCCAAGAAGTAGTGCAGTTCCATCTTTTGCCCACCAGAGGCTGCTGTGGGGCCAGAACAGACAGCTACATGAATGCACCCGGCTGTTCTGCCACCACAGCGGCCTCTTGTGGGCAAAAGGCAGAACCGCAGCACTTCTGGGGCAGAATGTATTTTCTGTGGGGGAAAGAAATTTCTCTGTGTGCCCAGTGCTGCCGATTTCCCCCAGCAGCAGAAGTTCATCATAGCACTCTGCCAGGTTAGGACAGAGTAGGGCACACACGGCTGCTGGGGGCGTGTCTCAGACTGGGGTTCAGAATGGCTGGGGGCGGGGACAGACTGGCGCCTGGGCTCAGGAGCTCGTGGGGTGGCAGCATTGAGCCTGGGGATGGGGAAGGGAGGCTGCGCGGAACATGGGGATGGGGGAGAAGACTGCAGAGACCCATTGGGATGGGGGGTTGTGGGGACAGGGATAGATGTGCCTGACTGAATGAGAGAGGCTTGGGGTCAGTCAGGGTCTGCATGGGGGAGGCTCCACAACTCCCTAACAGTCCCGTCCGCCCCCAATAAACCCTTCTCCCACCTACATCCAACACCCTCCAGGTTCACTCCCAGGCTCCTTCCCTCTCCCTCTGGTCCTCTGTTACCCCTGACTCCCCCAAGCCTTTGCACTGCTTCTGACAGATGCAGGAAATACAGTTCTGTATTGTAATTTAAATGAATTACTCAAAGTTCTGTATTAGTAAGCCTCGTAAGGAATCTATTTGTCAAAACAAAAATATTACCAGAATCTTTTTTTGGGGGGGGGTCTATATTGTTACAGACATACTTGCTGACGGACATTTTGAAATAAATTTCCAAAATAATTGAAACTGACATGATTATATTGTGTGATTTTGACAAATAAAATATGCAGAATTTTTATTTTTTTGGCGCAGAACTCCCCCAAGAGTAAGGTTGTATGGGCAACCTTAGATCTGGCATTTCCTAACTTCTGAATGCTTGAGTTTGCCACATGTGTTTTTTAATGTTTTTTTTAAATTTAGTTAATTTCTTAGAATTCTTTTAAAGGTTAACAAATTTTATTATGTGCTGCTGTACTTACCAAACCCTCCCCCAAAACACATTATTGGTAGAATTTGAATCCTACATCTTCAGCACAGCTTGAGCTACTATACTAACTACAAAAAGAAAAGGAGGACTTGTGGCACCATAGAGACTAACCAATTTATTTGAGCATGAGCTTTCGTGAGCTACAGCTCACTTCATCCGATGCATCGGATGTAGCTCGCGAAAGGTTATGCTCAAATAAATTGGTTAGTCTCTAAGGTGCCACAAGTACTCCTTTTCTTTTTGCAAATACAGACTAACACGGCTGTTACTCTGAAACCTGTACTAACTACCTTAGCTGGCAGAAGGAAAAAGCTGTTATCCCAGGGAGAAGTGAGCTGCTGGCACCACATGTTGGGTCTCGGCATGTATTTGGGAAAAGCATGGCCCAAATCACTCTCTTCTTTCCAACCCCAGAAAGTGAGGGGAATTCCTTCTCCATGTGGTGTTCTCAGAGAAGAGGATGGGATACTGGTACCACGTGCTGAATCTGCGGATGAGATTGTCATGGGGAGCCCAGTCTAGCTCTCTCCCTGGGTCTGCTGATGCTGCAGTAGCAGTTGTGTGGGCCTGACCTTAAATTTGAATGTTTATGTTGAGTTATTGTTGTGGCATGCTGCCAAAGTTTTGTTGACACTTAAAGTGACAATGGCATTTCAGAAGAAACGGAGGTGGTGGGCTAGAGTTCACTTCATTGCCCTTCTCCAGTGTCTAAAAAAACCCCAACTCCCATAGAAAAGTAGCTGGAGACCCAGAGTTTAGTCTCTAAGGATTTTCAGCAAGAATTGCACAGGGTCAACCTTCCCACATTCAAGTCCCAAAAGGAACTAAAGAAATGAATTTAATTAAATAAGTTTATAAAATCTTATGATAAAGAAACAAATAATAATCTAATTTTTACAAAAAGAATGAGGAGTACTTGGGGCACCTTAGAGACTAACAGATTTATTTGAGCATAAGCTGTCATGGGCTGAAGCCCACTTCAAAAACCAGTCGGTGAACACTTCAGTCTCCCTGGACACTCAATTATAGACCTAAAAGTTGCAATTATTCAACAAAAAACCTTCAAAA